CATCGTTTGCTGGCATTTCACTCAACTTTCACCGTAAATATTTATTTCCGGAAGCCAAACGCGCATCTGACTTCCAATTATGGACATCTGTGGTCGCCTATCGATCTTTTCAATTCAAAGTTCATCTGACGCCATGGTGTATTTCACTACAAAAAATATGGTGAAGTTTTAGTTGGCAATCAGCGGCCGTATGATCTGATAATAGATAATCATCTGCAATTGGAAATGCCATNATTTTGATATACTATTGTGAAAAATGTAACTTATTGAGACCACAAAAATGGGTAATCCGCAGATAAATCGATATTTCGGGATCGTAAATTAGATTTCCTTTTCTAATCTGCAGTTGAAATTGGCTTATTATGGAAGCAACGGAGAGGAATTCTGGGCCACGATAGAGATTATTCAGTCAAAACAATCCGAAATAAACGGTGGTACCCGTGCGTATTTCCTGCCACCTCGATTACTAACACAGTCCAGTTTAAAATAGCACTGAATGGTAACTACGGCCAGACCGGTTCTGAGCTCCCAGAGAAAGGTTGTCAAGTATTTCAGATACTGCTACTTATTTTGAGGTATATATATATGATCACTTTTTACCACAATGATTGTGGCAATATTACAGGTGATCTAATTTGTGTATACCGAGTTTATGAGTGACGAAATAAACAGAAAATAGGTTAAAATAAGTATTAAAAACCAGCAATGGGGAATTGGAAACGGAAACATAAACCAAAAGCTCCGCTTCAATGGATCCCATGTGCCATAATTATACAGTATACCAAAATTTGCCTGACCAATGTATCTGCTCAGGTCAACGAGTGGGGCAGTGAGAAGACCACCAGAACGTCAGAAATGTTGATGAAATTTTTTGAGAATCAGGCTACAGTTCGATGGTCACGCATGCGGTCACAGACGGTTCCGAAATGCCATAAACATTGGGCAATTTGATCGTTTAAAAGGAATTAAAAACACCATGATTATTCCAGTGAGACTGCCATGTGATGAGCTTTTCCTGCCGAATCTCATCGTGCAATGTTCAATCAACACTCAATGTGTCAACTCCGTTTTGTGAGCGTCATCTTTTTTGGAAAATGAATGAACGCTCCATTCCGTGATCTGTTTTTCTCGTCTTTTTGTCTTTACCTGTGACAATTAGGGTCGTATGCTGTATTCCTGTAATTCCGTGCCGTTCCCCATCAGACCTGCACATGTCCGTTTCTACAGTGTGGTCACACCGATCGACACGGATCACCTTGCTCATTGTTTGGCACACCTTACCGCATTCGGATCAGTCATACAGAGTTCAGTTCGCTTGGCCTTTGTCGCCTGTCTCCGATCTCGCCGTTCTGTAAATCAATACGGGTAGCCGGATAACGACATCAAGTACCACATCTTTGGATGCATGTGCTTTGGGAGTATGCGGGTTAGACCGAATGTGGAAATAATGTCGAAGCAGGAATGTCAGAAGTATTTTCATTTCGTTCACACCAACTCCAACAAATCATCAAATAGGAACAGGCAGTGATTACAAATAAGTTCGAAAAATCACTTTTGCTGAATAAAAGGCCAGTGCAAATATCTCATCAATCTATAGAACATAGGACATCAACCTTGAATCCGCAAGATCTCTCTAAGGGAGATTTAGCAGCTCACTAAATGTCTTCGGTGGTTTCTAATTTGCACAAACCAGTGTACACCATAAGTCCGGCTGAAATGAGGGGTATTGGGCGAAAAACAGTGAGGTGCATCTGCACTAGCACTGTCTCCGGAAGGAGAGGAAATCAGTCCGCAACTGAAAAACCGATTGTAATGGTTAAAAAGGATTTATGCAACACTGCCCTAAGAGTGATCTGCTCGAATCTGACGCAACCGATAAAAAAATCAAAGTAAAGGAGTGTAGAGCGGGAGAGTTTGTTCACTGAAATGACTCATCTATGCTGAGTCTACCTCTGTGTCTCACGCGCCATGAAAATCAGCCATCATCCACCTAACATTGGAGAATCCAGACTGATCCCGGTGACCATGAAAAGCGAAACAGACGTCAAAAACATTATTCTATCCTGTTATCTTCTCCGAAATAGTCCGTTCAAATAGAAGAATCCTGCCTAACAGCCCATGGTCGAAAGGTGTATCATAAGGCTAATCCAGAGAGTCCGTGGATGACTGAAAACCAAAGAGCCGGGCTTGTTCATGGAGTCCCACATCTGAACGATGCAAAAGAAGCCAAAGGTCACCGGAACGACTAAAAAAGGGTGACAATTCTCAAGTCAAGTCAATCATTCGGCTTTCTTTTTCACTAAAATACTATGGCAGTATTCCAAGGTTGATAAAATTCACTCCAGGCATTCCAGAAATGGCCACCGTTGGTGTCGCTGGTACCGAAATGTGGCTTTCAGTTGCAATTATTGATTTCGAACTATCTTTGCTTGGTATGTCTCTATTAAGATGGAAACATCTACACACGGGGGTAGAGTTTTACTTTATCTTCGTGATCATATTCCGTGTGAAGCAATCAGTCAGTCGGTGTTGGCTCCTGACATAGATTGGTGCAAATCATGACTGTCTTGGTATGATGAATGTTCCATTGGTTTACTCTATCGTCAACAAATTTCTTTTTCCAAACAATGGCACACATTCTTACACAAAAATTTATCCATGTTCCCTTAATGGATGACTCCAATCGGCCCATTCCACCCCACCTCCCATTGAACCACTAAACGCTCATCCACCAATCGAACATCAGTTCAGACAGCTAGTTGAATCACATTTATTGTATAACAAGGTGAAACAAACCATCACCGGGTTTGGACACGGACAGTTATCATCAATATTGGATCTATATAGTATCAACAAACGAGGAGCTCCGGGTAAACATCTGTAGTGCTGATGATTATACGAGGATAACTAACCAATCCCGAGGGTGCGGGGAGGGGGGGGACATTTTCTGTGCATAATTTTTATTTCA